ACCTTTAATTCATATTTGTTTGCCCAAACCAATGAAATGAGTTTCATCTCATACTCAGCCAAAAGAGTGCTGTCACTTTCATCACGAAATTCCCTTTTTCCAAAACTTTTAGAGTGTCCCATCACCAAGCGTTGTCCATTCCATTCAATTATATATTTTCCATTCAACTTCTCGTGAATTGTTCCTTCTATCCATTGATTGGAACGAGAATCGAGAATGGATATTGTTCCTTTATAGAGAAACAATTTAAGTTTCTTGTTTAGTTTACCGACGACTTGTTTCGATGGATAAGCAACAAGTTCCACGCTCTGCATAAAAGTAAGTCGAGACTCAATACGATATTGAAGTTGTTTTTCCATGGAGTCAAAAATTGAAAATTCGCCAGCCTTAATTGGATTTAACAGGTCTTTTTGAATAATATAAGATCGAACTGCAGTTTGTGGATTGACAAAAGCGAATAGGGCATTTATCAGTAGTAGAACGAATGGAAAGCAACGAATCGACATTATACTATATTGCTTTGTAAATCAATATAAGTGAAACCAATTTATATTCCAGTTCTTCTATTAATAATATTCTTTTCAGACACAAATTGCTTATTCATCATCCAGGATTCTTGTGTCAATATCAGTAATTCAAGTTGAAGATCATTCGTCACTTTTACACGGTCGAGATAAGTCGCATCTTATTTTCGTCGGTTACGTACATTTCTTTGTTCAACTCGTCGAATTTATTTATTTGATAAATTACTTATATTACATTATTTTCAAATTATTTTTGAAATTATTAATTAAGTTAATTAGTTCCAGTCGATTCTACGAGTGGTTCATCGTTAATTATGCCTCCCAGAAAAGGAGGAACTAATTTATCCAAACAAGGACAAATTTATGTTAATGGTGAAAATGTAAATCGAGGTCAAACAGCAGTAGCTGATGTTGGAGGAACAATGGCGATGAGTCATATTCCGAGAACAAAGGCCTCTGCTACAACAAAGACTTCTTCAGGAACAAAGGCTGGCCTGATAAAGCAATCAAATTTTAGCATTGCTCCTCTAATTCTAGAGGGTGTTAAGCTACATAAATTACAATTAAATGATGTTATCAAACAGCATTTAAAGGACTTACGAATATCTGATATTCAGCTAAGTCGATCAGGTCACTTTACAATATATGCAGCTGATGTTAGCTCGTTTAATCGTCTATTAAATGAGTTAACACCAATACTTGCAACAAATGGACAGGCTACAGCTAAAATATATGTGCCCCGATCCATTCAACGTATTAAAGATACGGAAAAAGTCGCATTTGTTAAAAATGTCGACATAGAAATTCCTGAAGGTCGAATAACTGAAGCATTAAAGGACGTTGGACTTGATGCTATTGATGTTGTTCGACTAATGAATAAAACTAAAAATGTTCCTACTAGAACGATCAAGATTACATTTAGTGATCCACATAATCGAAATACATTCGTCCATACTGGTTTACAAGTGGACTCAATGCATTTCATAGCTGAAGCAGCAAATCAAAACACCAAACCTGTACAATGCTTTATATGTCTGCAATACAATCATGTGGCAAAATACTGCAAAACGAAACAGCAGATATGTGCTAGATGTGGTGAAACTCATCGCATTGAACAATGTACTGCTGCTAGTGATTTAATAAAATGCTGCAATTGTAAAGGAAGTCATATAGCAACATCAAATGAATGTGCAACTTATAAGGAACAGGAGAAACGAATTAAAAATTTAGTTAATCAATATTCATCTCCGAATACACCAACAACATCAGCTCCAGCCATTCATGACTTAAACGAATTTCCATTGCTACCAAACCTCTTACAACGTCAACAAGAACACATTCATAATGAATTATTCGATGAAATTATTAATGTATTAAGCAGCAAAATGGAAAAGATTATCGAAGAAACAACCAGCCGACTATTCTAGAAGCTACTTAAGAAAATCAAGAAGATCGAAACATTCATCGAAACACAAGACAACAACGGTAAAGATGCCTTGACTATATCGGATTTTGATTCAGAAGAAGAAAGTCAAGTAGTCAAACACATTAGAAACAAGCAAAACCCAAGTGCAGCAATAACCAAATTAACCACCTCAGCAACTGATACATCAAAGAAGCCAACAACAACCTCAAATGTAACTTCATCAAAACCACCACGAAAAGTTAAAGAAGTTTCGAAAGCAGCCAAAAGAGTTCGATCACCCAACAGCTCCTTAGATACATCAACATTTGACAGCAAAGATCTCAAAACAAGCAACAACGATGATTAGTGTTTGTCATATTAACATCACCACTATCAGAAAACACAAAGACGAACTCTTTGCTAGATTCTCCAAATACGACGTCATATCTGTAAATGAAACTAATCTGAAAAGAGACCAACCGTTCTCTATGAAAGGTTACAACATTTTCAGGAACGACCGAGTAGGAAAACCTGGTGGAGGAGTATTACTAGCTGTCAAACAACATATCAAATGTAACGAAATTCTTAGCAAAACTGTTGGAAAAAATGAAATTATAGCTGTGGAAATTGCTACACGTTCATTAAAGAGCGTATTAATCTCTTCGATCTACGTACCACCAACAGCAAAAATCCAGATCAACATCTTTAATGAACTGTACAATTTAAACAACAACTGTATCATAGTAGGCGACCTTAACGCAACATTATACAATATGGGATCAAGAAAAACAAATGCAAGAGGAAGACAGTTACAAGAGGTAATAAATGAAGGTTATTTTAACTGTATTGATGATGTTAGTACCACATATGAAAAGAATGATTATGAAGTAAAGATCGACTGGATATTAGCCAGTCAACCTCTTCATTCATTAAAATCAAACGTCGAAACCCACCCAACAATCGGTACATTAAGTGGTCACAAACCATTAACCTTCGATTTACCAATTGGACCTGAACCCAAACCTGCATCTCCAAGATTATCCCTTAACTTCAAAGCAGCAAATTGGCCAAAATTTAGAAATACATTAAATGAACAACTAATACTATGGAACAAACATCGTTATATAAATTCAGAATCAGATATAGAAGAATATACGTCGTTTATTACCAACAGCATTACTACAGCAACACAAGAAGCCATACCAACGTCAAAAAAATTGAATACAAACATTAAACTAAGTGAAGCAACCAAACATCTGATCCAGCTCAAGCATAAAACTTATCGTAAATGGAAGAAGACTGGAGAAGATAGTGAAAAACAGCAATATTATAAATGTAAGTTGTTACTGACCAATTCACTTAGAAACGACAGAAAAATCAACTTTAACAACCTTATGTCGTCATTATGTCAGAAGAAAATGTATTCAGATTCAGTATGGCTTACGGTTCGCAAGTTTCACAACAAGCGAATAAAACAAAGCCACAGTAACAACATCAAATATAACAATGTGACTGCAACATCAGATAAGGAAAAAACCGATCTATTTGCTGGATATTTTCAAAATGAAGTCTATGTCAAAGCTCCTGACACATTACCGTTTCATCAGCAAGTGACAAGACAAACTTTTAACATTAAAAACAGATCTTCTAACACGAAACTAAACAAGTGGAAGAAGATCACAATAGAAGAAGTTAAATATAACATCAAACAACTTCGAAACACCTCCACTGGGCCTGACAACATCCACAACAGATGTCTGAAAAATCACACACAATCACTGATTCAACATCTGACTAAATTATTCAACTCCATATTAAATATGGGTTATATTCCAAGTGGATGGAAAAATGCAAATATTATACTTTTATTAAAGCCCAACAAAGATAGACAACATCCGTCAAGTTATCGTCCGATTAGTCTTCTTAGTTGCCTCGGTAAACTTCTGGAGAAAATAATCAAGCAACGACTGATGGTTATTCTGGACCGACGCAACATCCTTCCAGAACATCAAGCTGGCTTTCGACCACGGAAAAGCACTTTAAACAACATCATAAGGCTGACAAAGTATGCACAAAATCAGCTCCATTCAAATGATCGTAGTCGTCATGCAGCAGTTATATTATTTGATATTAAAGCTGCATTTGACTCTGTCTGGCATGAAGGACTAATATATAAATTAAATGAACTACGTCTACCACAATATTTAACAAATTATCTGATTTCGTTTCTTCAAAACAGAACTGCTGTTATAGAAATCGAAAATATATTATCCAGACCATTCAACCTTAATAGTGGTACTCCACAAGGATCTCCGTTATCACCATTACTCTACATTATATATACGGCAGATTCGATGAATGGAATACCAGAACATACAGAACATGGTCTTTTTGCCGATGACACCGCACTATGGACATCATCCAACACAATAACAAGCCTTAATTCCCGCCTACAACAATCCATAGATGCATTCCAAAGTTGGTGCAAATCGTGGAAACTAAAATTACAACCAACAAAAACTGAACTCGTCCACTTCACTGTACATCCAAGAAAACAATATAAAAATCCAGTCGCAGTCAAAATAGATGATATATCCATCAAACCATCCAACTCAACAAGATATTTAGGTGTTATTATTGACAAAACGTTGAATTGGAGAAGCCATATCCATCACATTGAATCGAAGATTGCTGGTCGTATTAGTCTGTTACGGTTTTTAAACAGAGCAGCTTACGAACCTAATGACAAAATTATGTTAAACATCTTCAAATCAATTGCAAGATCGATTATCATCTATGGTTATCCAATATTACTTACTGCCAATGATAAAATATGGGAAAGACTACAAATAATGCAAAACAAAGCCATTCGTGCTGCATTAGGATTACCCATATATACATCCGTCGAATATATCCATCGAATTACCAATATCCCCAAAATTAAAGAATATGCCGTTACTCTCCTGCAACGTTATATTCAAACAGCAACATCAAATAACGACCAACTACTAACCAACAACCTGCAAGATATATTCAACAAAATTCAATAAGAAATCACCTACCCATGTTACATATTACATATAGCATCGTCATTATCGATCATTGTTGAGTCGACCGAATCCATACAAAAATTGTTATACCGGAATCATCGACTTTAACTTTGCATCATACATATATATATATACTATTATAACAACTTCCATCGTATAACCTCTTTTCACGAGACATAAGACATTCGTCATGCGTCTCGGCGTTTCTCTCCAGCCTTTTGTATATTTGTATATATTGTTGCTTCTTTTTTGTTAACATCTTAATAAAAAGGCTTTGACTCCAAAAAAAAAAAAAAAAAAAAAAAAAAAGTTGAA